GGCAAGTGGCATGGTGGTTAAAGGCGCTGGACTCCCACATGGCCAACCATGGTTCAAGTCCCAGACCTGGTGGCTTGCTTTCTCACTTCCTCTCTCTCTCTCTGTCTCTCTCTGATCAAATTTCCACTTCCTCCATAGGGAGGAGCAGTAGGGCATGCAGATTCCTAAGAGTGCAGGGTACCTAATGAGGATATCTAATCCTAATTAACATCAGTGCTTTATATTAGCTGCTCTCCTTCCCCACTGGGTTAGGAGGGTGGGAGGGACCCCAGCTCTTGGTGGGACAGCCATTGGCTTAAGTCCCTTAACAGAGTCCATATTAACCACAGAGATCGCCTCAGGAGGCAGCTCTGTTGTCAGCTCAGGCTAATGCACTCCAGGGGATTTGCTGGGGCCTCAGGAACGAAAGTCTTCTCTCTTCTCAGAAGGACCATTCCTCTTTCCCTGACTTGAGCAACCATCAATATTTGTGATTCTGGATGGGAAATCACATACTGTATACTGTGATGTTCAGTGAATCAATGTAAAATAAATAAACTAAAACTTTAAAAAAAGGTATTTGTGAGACAAACAGGGAAACTCCAAGTATTAAATGATATTCAGAAATTATTAATGCTGTTGGGTGTGATCATGGTGTTATGATTTTGTAAAAATCAATAGCTCTTGTGAGAAATATGTGTTAAAACATACATTTGTAAGTGAAGGTATGATATCTACAATGTGCATTAAAATATCTTCTCCTACTCCCCCAAAACCTGTCATGGGAGAAATAAACAAAATAAGGTTGACAATATGTTAATAAAATACTGAAGCTAGGGGCCAGCTGGTAGCATGGTTGTTAAGGCAGCTGGATCCCACATAGCCAACTGTGTGATCAAGTTCAAGACTCAATGGCTTGAAAAGCACACTGAGTGCGTGTGGGTATATGCCCAAAAGGAGGAAGAGGTGAAGAAGAGGGATTGCAGCGTGACTATCCACCATGGGTAGGGGCTGCTCTTTCTCACTCCCCACTCCTACCACCCCCCATTCCAACAAGTGCATACACCCTCTAGCAAATTTTAAAAATTAAGTATGAGTTTAATTTTAAAATAATAATAATAAAATAATAATATTGGGGGCCAGCATGTGGCATGGTGGGTAAGGTGTTGAACTCCCACATGGCTAACCATGGTTCAAGCCCCAGACCTGGTGGCTTGTTTTCTCACTTTCTCTTTCTTTCTCTCTGTCTCTTTCTGGTCAAATTTTAAAATAAACAATGGAAATTAAGTAAATAAGTCTTTTAAAAATAATAATATCAAAGCTAGATGATAGGTACACAAGAGTTCATAATTCTATTTGCTCTACTTTTATTTATTTGAAAATTCCCTTGTAGACTGAGCACAACAAACTGGACCACCAGGTTGGGCACTTGTTATTAAATTGAATTGACAAATAATAATTGTACAAATATGTGGGGTACAGTGTGATGCTTTGATACATGTATGTAATATGTAAATATTTGTAATTCAAGCCACTCTTATCACTTGTGAGATAATACAATTTTTTGGTTTTTTGTTTGTTTTTTCATTTGTTTGGGTTTTTTTAAGGGAGATTTTTGCTATAGGGCACATATGCTCACCAAAGAGACAGAAAGTGAGAAATCACCCCCCAAGGGGATGGCCGTGCCACAATCCCTTCTTCTCCACTATCCTCTCGGGATTTGGGGCTTGCATGCACACTCACTCAGTGTGAGTTTCAAACCTCCAGGTCCAGGACTTGAACTGTGGTTGGCCATGTGGGAGTCCAGCAACATAACCATTATGCCATCTGCTGGTCCTAGATAATACAATGTTAACAGTGGGAGAAACTTTAGCAAACACACAGTTGGTCCATCTTATTTTGCACCCAGATGCAATATTCTAAGAAGGTTATAGTGGATGGGTAGGATATTGTTCACTGGTAGATTGGCTTCCCCTCTTGGCACCATTTCTCCTTTGCTTCCCTAAGAAAATAAATAAGGCATTAGGATGAATGCACAGTCTTTATTTCTCTAAAAATTGAAGTAAAGGGAACTCCTTAGGGGGGAAAAATCTGCATGATGGGAAGGTCCATCTTCATACAGTGGCTCCAGGGTGTTCAGAGGAAGGAATCAAATTCAGCCAAAATTAGCAACACCTTCCTGAATTGATCCAGACTCCAGGGTTGTGCCTAGTACTTGAAGTAGGAAAAGAGGTCAATCTAGAATTTGAGTCTACAGTTCTTGGAAATACATAATGCTGATGCTCCTGTCACCTCAGCTGAGCATACAGGCTGGTGTTTCTGATGCTGGTGACAAAACTGACCCAATATCCCAGGCTCCTCTGCCTGCTACCCCACGCCCAGCCGGGGATCTGCCCAGTCCTCCTGCCCCCAGCAGTTGGCCAACTCTCCAAGTCTTAGAGAAGAATTCTCTGTATCTGTCAATGTCTCCAAGCTGAGTCAGCCTCACAGAAGGATTGGGTGTGCAAAGGATTCCAGTTTGATCAGGAGAATCAGGGCAGGCAGGATTTGCAGCAGCAGTCAGCCAGGAGGACAGTCCTCAGACTTGGCCTTCTCCTTGGTCCCCTTTCACTATGGTATGGATCGGGCCTGATAATGCTATGCCTCTTCCACCAGCTACTCCCACTGAATTCCTAGAAGATCACAGCTGACGTTCCACAGGCGCTCGGCTGTTTTGTTATTTCGGGCCCTTGGAGACACCCAGGCTCTCTTGCAGTCACTGGAGGACACAGAAAGAGGGTGAATACCAGGGGTGAGAACTGGCAGTCTGGCAGCACGTGCAGTCTCTTTCTCAGAATATATTTTTAAGTGTTTAAATATAATATGTCTAAATAGAATAAATGTAAAATAAATTTAAGGAAACTAAGTACATTGAAATGCAGTTTTAAAGTATTCTTAAAACAAATTTGAAATATGGCCTTACATAAGTGACTTTATCAATGGATTCTATAACGAGGTCTAGCACCAGATCTAAAAACCAGCAGATTTCAAAGTAGTAGTGAGCAGAAGTGACATTCTGAGATATTTATAACAACTGCCATATGATGTGAAAATATTTACGACGTTGTTGGTGACAAAGTCACAGGTGGGGCCAGTGGGTGGTGTGGTAGTTCAGGTGGCTGGACTCCCACATGGCTGACTGTGGTTCGAGTCCCAGACCTGGCGACTTGCTTTCTCACTTTCCTTCTCTCTCTTTGTCTCTCTCTGGTCAACTTTAAAAAAATAATAAAGAAAGAAATAATGGGACCAGCACTTAGCGTAATGGCTATGTCATAATAGACTCAGGGCCAGCTCTATAAATGTTTTTACAGCATTTGAAAAACATAGTACTGCAAAGTATTGGAAGGCATAAAGGTATGGAGAACAACTCTAGATAGTAGAGACAGTGTGGGAGGAGAGTGGACAACGTGGTGGTGGGGTGGGAGGGAGAGAATCAAGGGGAAAAAAGCAAAACATATAATGAACACAAAAATGGAAAGCTATCTATCTGTTGATAATTTATATGGTAATATCTTTTTTTAAGAAGTATTTATTATTTAATTTTATTTATTCTTTCATTCATCGTAATTTGACCAGAAAAAGACAGACACAGAGAAAGAAGGAAAGTGAGAAAGGAAGCCACCAGATCCAGGATTTGAACCATGGTCGGCCATGTGGGAATGTCTAGCACCTTAACCACCATGCCACCTGCTAGCCCCATATATGGTAATATCTTTGACTGGACTGATACACAGTGTATTCATGCCGAAAAAAAGAAAAAGAAAAACATAGCACTGATAAAAGAAGAAAGTCTAACATTTAGTTGCTTTTTCCTTAAGTTTTGTTTGTTCACTCATATATAAGCAGATGTAGTCTTTCTCTTTTTCTTCCTTTTATACAAACCTGATATTAAATTTGAGAAGAATATCTTTCTCTTGTTAAAAATAATTTTTTTGGTCCATGACAAGTGGTAAAGGGAGTCAGATCTAATATGGCTGATAGCATGGTTCAAATCCCAGTCCTAGCAGTGTTAAAAACACACTGAGGGGAGGCTAGCAGGTGGTGTGGTGGATAAGGGCGCTGGACTCCCACATAGTTTTTTAAATTATTTATTTAACTTTATTTTATATATTTATTTTAATTTGACCAGAGAAGGACAGAGTAAGAGAGAGAGAGGGAAAGTGAGAAAGTAAGCCACTAGGTTTGGGACTCAAACCACTGTCATCCACGTGGGAGTCCAGTGCCTTTAACCACCACACCTCCTGCCAGCCTCAATAAATAATTTTTTTAAAAAAGGCACAGTGAGGGACCAGCAGTTAGAGTAATGGCTATGTCGCTGGACCGCGGTTCAAGTCCCAGACCCAGTGGCTTAAACTCATGCTGGGCGCATGTACATGCATGCCCAAGATCCCAAGAAGAGAATGGAGGAGAAGGGATTGCGGTGTGACCATCCCTCCTGGGGGGTGATTTCTCGCTTTCTGTCTCTCTGTCTCTCTCTGTCTTTCTGGCGAGTCCACGTGCCCTATAGCAAAAACTCTCCAAAAAAAAAAAAAGGCACACTGAAGAAACCAGCACACGGCCTAATGGTGTAATGGTTACTTATGTCACTGGATTCTCACATAGTCATCCGTGGTTTGAGTCCTGGATCCAGCAGCTTAAAACTCACACCAAGTGCATGTGTGCCCAAAATTCCAAGAAGAGAATGGAGGAGAAAGGATTGTGACATGGCCACCGCCCCCCCCCACGGGGTGATTTATCACTTTCTGTCTCTCTCTAGCAAGTGCACATGCCCTATAGCAAAAAAAATCTCTAAAAATTAAGCACACTGAGGACATTTGCATGTGTGCCTAGAATCTCAACAGAATGGAGAAACGGAGGAGAAAGGATTGTGGCATCCACTGGCGGTACTTTATCTCTCTCGCTCGCTCGCTCGCTCTCTCTCTCTTGCGCACACGTGAGGGCATGTGCTCTCTAGCAAAATTTTAAAATTTTTTTCTATATTATTATTATGGCAAAGGGCCTGGGCATGTACATAAGAGAAAGAGAAGACAGAGAAAGAAAGTGCCCTCCCCCCCCCATGGGACTGGTCTTGCCATAATCGTTTTGCCTCCAATTCTCCATTCCATTGAGATCCTGGGCATGTGTGTGCACACACAGTGCAAAATCCACCAGGACAGAACTCACGTACTGGTCCACCATGTGAGAGCTGGCTTCCACTGCACAGCACTTAACCATTGTGCTATGGGGCTGGCCCAAAATATATTTTTTAATTATACAGATAATAAATAAATAGATGAACTTCTAAAATTTTTTAAATAATAAATACTTTGAATGAAATGTAGAATCCCCCTACACAGTCAGCCTGACTCTGAGAACCCTTTCCCATTAATTAATTATTTGAAAATGATGCATATAATGACTGTGTAACATTTGATCACACATTTAAGGCAGTAACATTAAACACTCAGACTCAAGAGTTGCATCGTCCAATAGAAATATGACATGAGAGCCAGCCAATGACATGGTGGCTAATGTGGCTAGATCCCACATGGCCCTGAGATCAGCATCAAGTACCAGAACTGATGGCTTGAGAAACACGTCAGGCACATGTATGTGCACACCCAAAATCCCAAAAGGAGAGAGAGATGGAGAGGGGATTGCAGTGTGATCATTCCCTGTGGGAGGTGCTTTCTTATTCTGTCTCTCTCTGGTGAGTACATGCATCCTCTAACAAATAAAAAAAAAGAAAGAAAGAAAGAAAAGAAAGGTACGAATCACGAACATGAACCTCATATAAAAATTTAAATTTTCTAGGGACCAGCAGTTAGCGTAATGGCTATGTCTCTGAACTCCCATGTAGTCAACCACGGTTCGAGTCCCAGATCTGGTGGCTTAAACTCACGCCGGGCATGTGTGCATGTGTGCCCAAGATCCCAAAAGGAGAATGGAGAAGGGATTGAAGCAGGACCATCCCTGTATGTCTGTCTGTCTTTCTGGCGAGCACACGTGCCCTATAGCAAAAACCTTGCCAAAAAGAAAAAAAAAATTAAATTTTCTAGTAGTCACATTTAAAAAGTAAGAAGAAATCGGGGGGAGGTCAGTAGGTGGCATAGTGATTAAGGCGCTGGACACTCTCACATGGCCAATCATGGTTCATGTCCCAGACCTGGTGGCTTGCTTTCTCACTTTCTCTCTCTCTCTCATCTTTTTCTCTCTCTGGTCAAATTTAAAAATAAATGAATGAATAAATAAAATTAAATACTTTTTTTTGAGGAGAGGTTTTTTTCTATAGGGTGCATATGATGACCAGAAAGACAGAGAGAGACAGAGAGACAGAAAGTGAGAAATCACCACCCGGGGAGATGGCAACTCCACAACCCCTTCTCCTCCATTTCCTCTCTGGATCTTAGGCACGCACGCACGCACGCCCAGCGTGAGTTTAAGCCACCAGATCCGGGACTCAAACTGCTGTTGACTACATGCGAGTCCAGCGACATAGCCATTATGCCAACTGCTAGTTCCCAAATAAATAATTTTTTTAAAAGAGAGAGATTAAAAAAAAAAAAAGAAGTGGATACATTTAATCTTATTAGGTCATCAGGAAAGTCGTGATGCATTTTTGCATAGAAAAATACGTCATAACTTTCCCAATGACCTGATAGTAATAAATTCTATTTAACCCAGTATGGACAAGTTATTTCAGCATGTAATCAGTATCACAACTAATAAAATATTTTACACTTCTTTTCTAATCCTATGTCTTCAAAATCGGGTGTGCTTACACACCAGCACATACAGATTTAGACTAGCTAAAAGTGCTCAAAAGTCACCACGGGGCTAGTGGCAACCATATTGAACAGCACAGTTTTACAGCCAGACTGCCTGGGTTTACATCCCACTTGCAAGTTATATGACCCTGAGCCAGTTGTGAGATTATCCTGTGCCTCAATTTCATCTAAAAGAGGGGGATAATATTACCTCCCTCTCAGAGTTGTGATGATTCGATGAGCTAATACACACAAAACACATAAGACTGCAAATACATTTCAAGGAACATTAGCTGTTATCATTTATCCATTCCCCCACTGTTGGACGCTGAGGTAAATGGGAAGGAAATTTAATCCTCGGCTTTCTTTTATTCCCAAACTCCGGCTGCCCACTGAGTTTGTGTTAAAACTGCGCATAGAGGGGACCAGCAATTAGCGTAATGGCCATGTCGCTGGACTCCCACGTAGTTGACCACGGTTCGCATCCCAGACCGGGTGGCTTAAAACTCACGCCGGGCACGTGTGCGTGCGTGCCCAAGATCCCGAGAGGAGAATGGAGGAGAAGGGATTGCGGCGTGGCCATCTCCCCCTGGGGGGTGATTTCTCGCTTTCTGTCTGTATGTCTTTGTCTGGCGAGCGCATGCAGCCTATAGCCAAAACTTCTCAAAAAAAAAAAAAAAAACTGCGCATAGAAATTTCTATTGGGTCATTGGAAAAGTCACGATGTCTTTTTCTACATTTTTATATGCAAAAATGCATCATGACATTTCAGACGACCCAGTATTTCTCTGTTCCAACGAATAGTGCTGATCTTGGTGACACTGGGAGAGAGTTCACCCTGGAGAGAATGACCTTCCTCCAGCACTTTGTGCTAAGTGGTATTAAACAATTCATGAATCGGATGAGCCAAACGCTTAGATGAGAAAAAGGATCCAGAGGGCCTGGTAACTCTTTCCACAGCATAACGAGCGGGGACAGTTTTCTCTCACTGCTTTCCGAAAGCTACAAAGTACATAGAAATGTGGTACCCAGGCGTAAAACAGCCATTCTCAGCGCTGTGGTGGCAACACACTGCTCAGAGAGGCTGGACCCCACGTGATAACTGTGGTTTAAGTCCCTGACCTGAAACAAGCCAGGCAACCCACAGGAGTGCTCAGAATAGGCTAGAGGACTGGAAGAAGGGGTCATAGTATAGCCGGGGCCTGTGGCATGAATGGAGTCCTGTATCTCTCAGTCACTTTCTCTCATGCCTATATCAAGAATAAAGAAGAAAATGTTCAATTAAAATTTAAAAATAAAATAGAGCTATAAAAAACAACTCTTTCTAACATAAGTTCCTAATGTAAGTTTCCTTGGAAAATTAACAGCACTTGATTTGCAGTCCCAGCCCAAACCTGATTCCACCATCAGGCACAGACTCAGCTGCTTGGAGACCTGGGCTTCACACGCAACGCAGGTGGAGGAGAGAACCTGCAGCTGTCACGTACCTGAAGTACTTTCCGCTCAAGGGCTCCAGACCCTCAGCCAGGGCGCAGTGAAGGCTGGTCTGTGCCCCGTCCCGTGCTGACTTCACAAAGGGGGAGAAGATCCGCCAGAGCAGGCACAGCAGGTAGGAGTGCCGGACCAGCTCAGAGCGGACAACACCTGGGTGCACTGCATAGGTGGTGACTCCCGTGCCTAGGGCAAAGAGGGCACAGTGAGACCAGGAATACCCTCTGAGGCCAGGGAAACTCTTTCTTGTAGCAAAATACATAGATGAAAAGGGATTTGGCAACACAGCTCCTGGGTTTAGAAGGTACCACTCCTAAACTGGCAGAATCTGATTAGTAGTTTATTGATCTTACCCAGAAAGATCTAAAGCCGTCTCAACCTTTCATGCTCTAAAGAGGCGGCCTCGTTCAAGGCCCTTCTATTTCAATGTCACATTGATACTACGGCTTAAGTAATACAAAACAACAAGCAGAATGATCAATTATTGACAGTGGTATCTTTACCATTTATTTTAGAAGGGGCTTAGGGCTAACAGCTTCATTGGAAGGTGAATGGGCTAGGACCTTTTTTACATTTGCCTGAGAAATGCATTTTATGAGGGGCAGAGTGAAGGGTGATGGAGACTGTGGAGGGTTGATGAACGTGACACCTGGTGCCACCACTTTTATTTAGTACTGATTAAGTGCAACAGCTGTGTTACGTGCTTTACAACCATGATCTGGTTTAAGTCTCTTTTTTAAAGAATTATGTATTTATTTCATTCCATTTGTCATTGTTATTTTTTAATTTGACTAGAGAGAGACAGAAAAGGAAAATGAGAAAGCAAGTCACCAGGTCCAAGACTCAAACTGCAGGCAGCCATGTGAAAGTCCAGCACCTTAACCACCACACTACCTGCTGGATCCTCATTTACTTCTTAAAGAGGCTTGTGAGGCAGATAATATTAAGATGCCCTAGGGTCAGCAGGTGATGTGGAATTTAAGGCAGCTGGATCTTACACGGCCAACTCTGCAGTTTGAGTTTTGGATCCCGTAGTTTAAAAACCATGTCAGGTGCATATGCATGCGTGCCCCAAATCCTGAGAGGAGCATGGAGGAGAAGGGACTGTGGTGTGTCATCTCCCTTGTTACAGTGATTTCTCTCTTTCTCTCTCTCTCCCTCTGGTAAGCACACATGCTTTATAGAAAAAATAATTATTAAGATGCCATTTATAGCGGAGGAAACTAAGTCACAGAGAGGTTAAATGAACTGGTATCTCCTGAGACTAGAGGGTTCTTTCTTATTTTAAGAGAGAGATTTTTGCTATAGAGTGTGTGCACACACCAGAGAGATAGACTGAGAAATCACCCCCTGGTTGGGGGGGGGGGCGGGGGCCATGCCTCAATCCCTTCTCTTCCATTCTCTTGTTGGGATTTTGGGCACGCACGCACACACACCAGGCATGAGTTTCAGGCCCCCCAGGTCTGGGACTCAAACTGAAGTCAGCCATGCTGGAATCCAGCAATGTAACCATTATGCCCATTATGCCATCTGCTGGTCTCAATTTGGGGCTTCTTAAAGGTATGAGTAGAAGGATCTCACTTTTTCAAATGGTCAAGAAAGGTATAGTGAACAACAAGGTCATACCTAAAGACTACAGAGCTGGGAACCAGCAGTTAGCATAATGGCTATGTCGCTGGATTCCCATGTAGTTGACCGCGGTTCATGTCCCGGCCCCGGTGGCTTAGAACTCACACCAGGCGCGTGTGCGTGTGTGCCCAAGATCCCAAGAGGAGAATGGAGGAGAAGGGATTGCGGTGTGACCATCCCCCCTGGGGGGTGATTTCTCGCTTTCTGTCTCTATGTCTCTCTCTGTCTGTCTGGCGAGCACACGCGCCCTATGGCGGAAACCTCTCAAAAAAAAAAAAGACTATAGAGCTAAGATCTGAACCCTGACTTAGTGTGAATTCTGGGGATCAGTAGACAGTGTAATGGTTACGTTGCCGGACTCTCATGTAGTCAACCATGATTCTAGTCCTGAACCCAGCGGCTTAAAACTCACACAGGGCATGTGTACATGCTGAGCCCAAAATTCCTGAGAGGGATTAGAGAAGGGACTGTGGTGGTGGCCATCCCCCATGAGGGGGGTGAGTTCTTGCCTTCTGTCTTTTTGTCTCTTTCTGTCTCTTCTGTGAGCACACACACCCTATAACAAAAATCTCTAAAAGAAAAAAATTTAAAAAGTGCAAATTCTGGGGCTAGCCAGGTGGCGTGATGGTTGAAGCGGCTAGATCCTACATGGCTGACTGTGCGGCTTGAGTCTTGAATCCAGCAATTTGAGAAACATGCCAGGTACATGTGCATGTGTGCCCAAAATCCCAAGAGGAGAATGGAGAAGAAGGGACTGCAGTGTAGCTATATTCCCTTGGGGTGCTTTCTCTCTATCTCTCTCCCTCTCTGTCTCTCTCCACTGAGTACATACACCCTATAGAGAATTAAAAAAAAAAAAAGAAAGTATGAATTCTGAAGTTAGACTAGATTTGAATCCTGGCTCAGCTAGGAAACTTATTTGGGCAAATCTTTTAATATATCTGTGCTGTGTCTTCATTTGTAGCGGGGGAGGGGGGGCGGATAACAGCACCTACCTCACAGAAATGTTGTATTACGTGAGTTAAGACATATAGTTGCATGGCACACATAAAACTCCCAATTCTCATTGTTATTACTAAGATCTATTTTTATGATTACCCTATTCTTCCACCTTTGGCATTCTGACATCAACACCATTGTTCCCAAATTCTGCATTCTTCACTGTAACAAATGACCTTCCAGATTCTCAGATATCAGAGCCACAGGAGCCGCAGCTCAACCCAAAACTCCAGGGAAGCGCATGGTCATGGATTCAGAGTCAGCCTCACCTCCTTTTACGGCTGAGAGGGTGAAGCCAGGGAGGTGAAAGGAACATGTCCACATACACACGAGACCAGTCTGTGGCAGACCAAAAACCTGGACCCAGAGTTCTGAAATCCAGCCCCAGCACCCTGACTCCCAGTGGTCCTCTCATCAGTGTATGGAGCTCTGCAAAGCCCACATGAAGGAAGCACCCTGGATTTAAAGCAGAGCACCCACATTCCATTTCTCTTTCCTTTGCCATATAGCCTTGAGCTGGCCTGTTCCTTGGTCCTTAGTTCTGACCAATAATAGGAATAATAATATCTGTCTATTACAGAGGGTTCCTGTGAAAATCCAGTGAGATAATAGATTTCAAATAAAACGTGCCATAAATATAAGGTAACTGTGAGATTCCTAACCCTATTCAACTTTAAGCATCCCTGGGGCACTGACTTTATTTTTATTCTCTTTATAACCTCATTCTCAGTAAACTGAGATACTACTTAAATGTGGATGTTTGACCGCCTGACTTCAGAGGTTTCTGTGAACCTCTAATCTGGACTGAGGACCCTGTTTTTACTATTTTAATCCTAGCACTTTCTCTAGACTTACCTTGAAGCCTCTTGGCCAATTCACGGGTAAAAAGCACATTGGCCAGCTTGCTGTGGCAATAGGCAAACCCCCTGCTGTAGTGCTTCTCACTTTGGAGGTCATGGAAGCGAATCTTGCCAATGTGGTGAACCACTGATGACAGGTTCACCACCCGTGCAGGAGCAGATTCCTTCAGCCTGTCCAGGAGCAGGTAGGTGAGAAGAAAGTGACCTACAAGGAGAACCAGCAGGAAAGATGGAAGAGTGAAATGGCAGTCCAGGCTCTGGTTGTGGAAGCGAGTAACAGGACTTCAGCTTTAGCTCACTATCTTCTGGGTGTAAACAAATTCTTTTTTTTTTTTTTTCTTTTTTTGGAGAGGTTTTTGCTATAGGGCACGTGTGCTTCCCAGAATGACAGAGAGAGACAGAGAGACAGAAAGCGAGAAATCACCCCCCAGGAGGGATGGCCACACCGCAATCCCTTCTCCTCCATTCTCCTCTTGGGATCTTGGGCATGCACACACACATGCCCAGCATGAGTTTAAGCCACTGGGTCCAGGACTGGAACTGTGGTCGACTACATGGGAGTCCAGCAACATAGCCATTATGCTAACTGCTGATCCCTGGGTGTGAACAAATTGTGATGCTATGAGTAACTCAGTGCTAATAGTAAGTTGGCCTGCGTTAGAGGATTCCTCAAAGAAAGGGCCAGAACTAGACTGAAGGTAAGGTAATTATACTTAATCTATAATCTATATTTCTGTTCTTTCCCCCAGTCATGAGAAATACTTACCCACTGGCTTTCATCTCACCCTTTGACCATGATTGCATAACTGCAGACCCAGGTACACTCATGTACAGAGGGAATGATGAGATAGTCAGGAAAAATGGCATACGCTTAGGATCAGAAAACATGTTTCATGCATGTTTTCCTCTCTAGACCCACCACCCTGCTTTTTTTGGAGAGGTTTTTGCTATAGGGCACGTGTGCTTCCCAGAATGACAGAGAGAGACAGAGAGACAGAAAGCGAGAAATCACCCCCCAGGAGGGATGGCCACACCGCAATCCCTTCTCCTCCATTCTCCTCTTGGGATCTTGGGCATGCACACACACATGCCCAGCATGAGTTTAAGCCACTGGGTCCAGGACTGGAACTGTGGTCGACTACATGGGAGTCCAGCAACATAGCCATTATGCTAACTGCTGATCCCTGGGTGTGAACAAATTGTGATGCTATGAGTAACTCAGTGCTAATAGTAAGTTGGCCTGCGTTAGAGGATTCCTCAAAGAAAGGGCCAGAACTAGACTGAAGGTAAGGTAATTATACTTAATCTATAATCTATATTTCTGTTCTTTCTCCCAGTCATGAGAAATACTTACCCACTGGCTTTCATCTCACCCTTTGACCATGATTGCATAACTGCAGACCCAGGTACACTCATGTACAGAGGGAATGATGAGATAGTCAGGAAAAATGGCATACGCTTAGGATCAGAAAACATGTTTCATGCATGTTTTCCTCTCTAGACCCACCACCCTGAACTCAGAATCCTAGCCTGCCACATACCTCAGATTTTCAAGTTTGTCTGTCTCCATGGATCAACCCTTGACTTGACTGGCCCTCATTTGGATGCAACCCCTCTAGGCAAACAATGATTCCTATACCACCAGAACTTTAGGCCTGCACTACCACTGCCTCTCCAAGAATTATGTTCTTCTCTCTAGTATCTCCTGACATTTGGGGGTTCTTAAAGGTATGAGTAGGAGGGTCTCCCTTTTTTTGAATTGGTCAAGAGAGGAACAGTGAATAGCAAGCCAATGTGCCCAGTCTGTTGGAACCTAAGCTCTATGAGGACCACTGGGGAATCTCAGCACTGGTATAGGGCCATCTTGCTATGGAGAACAAAGTAGAGTATGCCTCACTTTTCAGTCACCCAAACTTACTTACCCAAGTGGTTGACTCCCAGGTGGGTTTCAAATCCATCAGCTGTCTTGGAATATGGACACATCATCACTCCCGCATTGTTGATCAGAATATGGAGCTGCTTTTCTTCTATAGACCACAAACAAGGAGACCCAGTAGTTAGCAAGGAGCCCACTAGCTGCCTACCACAGTCCTCTCCTTTGTGAGTTCTGTTTGTTGGGGCAAGGTTTTGTATTTTTTCTTAAATTTTCTTTTTTAAACATTTACTTATTTGTTGTGTTTTTTAAGCCACTGGGCCCAGGACTTGAACCATACTCAGCCATGTGGGAATCCAGTGTCTTAATCACTGTACTACCTGCTGGCCCAACAGGCAAAGTTTTGATAGGAGCTATTCACTCTGCTCCATTCTTTTTTTTTTTTTTTTTTGGAGAGATTTTCACTGTAGGGCGCGTGCGCTCGCCAGACAGACAGAGAGAGACAGAGAGACAGAAAGAGAGAAATCACCCCCAAGGGGGGATGGTCACGCCACAATCCCTTCTCCTCCATTCTCCTCTCGAGATCTTGGGCACGCAAGCACACGCCCCCGGCGTGAGTTTTAAGCCACCAGGTCCGAGACACGAACCGCGGTCGACTACGTGGGAGTCCAGCGACATAGCCATTACGCTAACTGCTGGTTCCCCTCTGCTCCATTCTTTGAAGACAAGATACTGCCCAGCAGTCAGTAACTATCCCTATTGGGACCTATCTCAGTGATACTCAACCATTGGCATTGAGTTTTTTATTTTAGTGATCGTACTTTCTAGACACTGTTCACATCCATTTAGTCAACAAATGTGTACTGACTACCGGTTCTGGGCTGGCCCAACCCACTGGGAACCCAGTGGTAAAACACAGCAGACATGGTCCCTGTCCCTCATGGATTATGTAGACCTTGATAGAAGATGGTCATTTCTAAGACCCAGCAGAATTTTAGCAGCATCACAGCCTCATCTAGTGCCAATGGCCACAGAAGGTTGATTCTCGGGATGAAAGAAGAATGGCATTATGGCCACGCCTTGATGCCAAGGTACAAGCCCAGACAGGAAGATGACACCTCCAACGTTCCCATTGCTGAGGCAAAAAGATGATAAGGATCCTGCCCAGCTTGTCCACCCACCATCCTTTTCCCAGTCCCCAGTCCTGCTAGTTCATGTGGCAGAACCTGTCCAGTAGGATCAATGAAGGTTCTGATGTAAGGGCCGTAGATGGTCCAGGGTGGAGCAGTCACTCCTTTACCCAGTTTCCTGCTTTTCTAGTTACCTACTCGGTCCTCACCTGCCAGAAAGTCCTCAGCAAAGGCTCGGATGGATTTGGTGTCAGATAGGTCCAGTTTCCGAACCAGTACCTGGGAATTCTTAGTATCCGCTCGGATTTCACTAGCTGCAGACTCCCCCTTCAGTACATCTCGGCAGGCAATATATACCCGGGCTCCTGGAGCCAAAACAAAGAGGGGAATATGTGTAGAGGCTGGGCTGAAAAGAAGTATAGTAAGTGAGCTTGGCACTGGTGGATGGAGCATTTTCCCAGCTAGCCCTGAACAGTGCAGTGACCATATCGCCACTTCAGGAGTCTTACAGTAGTACTTGGTGTCAGGTAATTTCCTTGCTGGTCAGCTTAGCTCCAGACTGGCAACTCTGACTTATACTAATACTTAATGTTGCTTTAGTATCTCTTTCAAAATAACTGACCTGATCAATATTATGCATGGTCATCATTGTTTTTCTGACTTATGTAACGCGGAAGGAGGGGAGAGGAAGGAAGATTTGTTGAAGTTGTCATCACAGCTGGATGTGAACCCTAGGTTTCTTGAAATCAGAGCTTCCAAGCACAGGAATAAAGTCAAGGAAACATGGGCAGAGCTCCCAGTGAGAAGGGCAGGAGGCACGGCCTGTGGAGACCTTCAGGGAAAGACTTGCCTCTGCGAGCGAGCTCCCTGGCCGTCTCTTTGCCAATGCCTGTGTTGGCGCCGGTGATCACAACGACCTTCCCTGGAAGCTGCACGTTTGTTCTACAAACTCCGCCAGCAAAGAACTTCCTGTCAGCAAGGGAAACAAGAGCATCACCACCATTCTTTCCAACCACACTGAGATTCATGAAGTAAAAGCCATCCAGTCTCAAAGAGGGATATCTCTAACTTGTAGTCAGGAGACCCAAAGAAGCTTGTCTTCATGGGATAACATTTTTTCCACTAGACAAGGTCCCTGCTCATCAGCATAGGTTGGTAGATCATGTGCCCAGAAGCTACAAATCATCAGGAAAGAGTAAGTGCTCTTGAGCCAGAGCCAATGAGGGCCTTCTTTGTTATTCAATCGATAACAGAGATAGAGATACCCAGTACTTATCTCTAGAGGTTCCTGGGAGTCAGCTTCCTCCTCTAACCTGCATGGAAACACACCTGTGATGAATGTTAGTGGGATCAGTGATCCTGTGCCCTAGGACTTCACTGTGAATGATGACCAGCATTCTGGCAGGCAGCAAACACAAACACCTCTCTTGGGCTGTCTCTCTAGTTTGAGAGATCAAGGCATCTTCAGAGACTTTCTGCCATCCTATTAGGATTTCATTCTGGCCATTGGTGCACAGAGAGAAACCCTCTCTTATTCAGACCTCTGTACAGACAACATGAAGTTGACTACATAAGTTCCAAAAACGAAGGCCAAAGGGGTAGAGAACTAACATTCCTGAGCATCATCTGACTACCAGGCACTGGGCTAGGCACGTTTACACAAATACACTTTAATCCTCTCGACCACTCCAGTATTATTTGCACATTATACTGGAGAAAACTGAGGCTTAACAACATTCTATCTAGGTCTAGTGGTGCAGAACTGGAATGTGAATCTAAGTCTCTATACCTGGACCTAGAATACACCATCTCTGTTATATCCACTTAGTCCTTTTCTTAAAATCATTGGCAATCTAAACATTGTCCACTCAGAATACACATTTCTTTGACACCTCCAGAAATCCCACAGCAAAAAAGCATCTCAAAATATTAGTTGAGGGGCCAGCAGATGACATGGTGGTTGTGATGCTGGACTCCGACATGACTGAAAGTGGTTCAAGTCTTGGACCTGATGGCTTGCTTTCTCACTTTCCCTTTCTCTCTCTCTTTGTCTCTCTCTGGTCAATTTAAAATAAAGATAAATAATAACAAATAAAGTTAAATTTAAATGTAGAAAAAAAAAAAAACATTAGTTGCAGAGAGACTTGAAGAGAAGAGACCTTGTTTATTCACAAAATGCCTGGTACTCACAATGAGTCACTCAACAAGGACCACCCACAACAGCCCAGCTGGGTTACTTTGACTAGGGACAGAGAAGAAAGGGAGATCTTCAGAGAAACCTAAGGGAATGGAGTGAAAGAGCAAGGACTCCCTCCCACCTAAGCTGTCTGTTGAGCTACTTAACAGAGTCATCCACTCAGCCCTGCATAGGCATCAGAGCTCAAATCCGCCCCACCTTCACCCAGCCCTAGGTGCTTCCTTTTCAGTTTCCACCATGCTACCCATAACCCCTCCTCTTTTCCTGCCTGCTCTGCCCTAACTTTCTCTTCCTCGGCCTCCTTCTTTTTCTCTTTTTTTTCAGCAGCCGAGAACCTGCTCCCAAGGCAGGAATTTGTAAACTATTGTTAGAAGTTGTTGAATTAAGACAAACCTGATGGATGGAGCTATCACGTACAAGAAAGAAATGAAGGAGGTGAACAATCCCAAGGTAACCAGCATGTTTTCAACCTCTTTCGGTCCTGCTGCTTTTGCTGTTTCTCCACCTTCAGCCTCAACTATGGCCTGGGCTCCTGGTCTGGCTCCAACTCTTAGCTGCTTCTCGCTCCTCTTGCTCCTGGGTGCTCAGCAACAGCCTGGCTCTCGGCACAGCCCAGAATCCTGTTTAAATCCAAGAGCTGTCAGAGCACAGCCTGCTGGGAGATGTAGTCCTGGGGGAAGTGGATGAAGGAAAGATCGGAGCCTTACTCACACTTACTGGAAAAGAGTATGTGGGGAAACTGGAGTAACTGCCCCCTAAATCTACCACCTTCAATTGCTTCTCTTATCTAGGGAATGTGGTCTTCCAACCACCCCCACGTCTACTCCTACAATATGGAATATTTTAGCTTTAGGAACAGAGCCCCCATAATGCTTGAAATATATGCGCCATTAAAATAGAAAAATAGGAACCATCAGTTAGCATAATGGCTATGTTGCTGAACTCCCATGTAGCCGACCACGGTTTGAGTCCCGGACCTGGTGGCTTAAACTCACACCGGGCACATGTGCATGTGTGCCCAAGATCCCAAGAGGAGAATGGAGGAGAAGGGATTGTGGTGTGGTCACACCCCTGGGGGTGATTTCTCGCTTTCTATCTCTCTGTCTCTCTCTGTCTTTCTGGCGAGTGCACATGCCCTATAGCAAAAAACTCTTAAAAAAAAAAAAGAAAGAAAGAAAAGAAAAGAAAAATAAAGACAAAACTTCCAGAAGACTGTGGTAAAAGTCAGAAGAGTGGTTGTGCTTAGTGAGGAAGAGTAGTGACTGGGAGGGGACATGGCAGAAGCTCCCACAGGGCTGATGTTCTGTTCTTTGATCTAGATACTAGTACACAAGTGCACTCGCTTAGTGAAACTGTGTTGCATCATATACTTTTTCTTTTCCCTTTAGGTGGTATCTCTTAAGGGAGATGCAGATCAAAACCGCAATGAGATACCACCTAATCCCTGTCAGAATGACTAAGATTTAAACACAGAAAATGATAAGTGTTGGTGGGATTGTGGTGAAAGGGGAACTCTCCTACACTGCTGGTGGGAATGTAAATTGGCCCAACCACTATGGAAAACTACATGGAGATACTTCAGAGACTACAGATAGAACTACCATGTGATTCAGCAATCCCACTCCAGGTATTTACCTAAAGGACAGGAGAATGCTCAGGCGGAAAAGTGCTTGCACTTCAATGTTTATTGTAGCATTATTTATAATTGCTAAGACATGGAACCAATCTAAATATCCACGAACAGATGAATGGATTGAAAAAGTGTGACACATATACTCTATGGAATACTATTCAGCCATAACAAACAAGACCCTGGTATTTGATAGAAAGTGGTCAAATATGGAAGATTTATTGCTGAGTGAAGCAAGCCAGGCTATGAAAGAAAGATATTGTATGTCTTCACTTAACGTACACTGTCTGCACTCTATGGTAGAGACTGAACGATTGGAGGACATAAAAGCACTGAAAATAATTATGGATGCTGGAGACAGTTTGGAAGGAGGGTGGGAGAAGGGAAAAGTATAGGGAAGGAAATCAGGGAGAAAAAATCAAGAGGCAAGGTATTTGTGGGACACAGAAATGGTTTATTACCTGCTGATGATAATGATAACATGTATAGTCTTCTCAACTGAGTTGGTCTGAGATGTTTTTCATTTTGGGTAAATTCTCTTTACAAGTCAAATGATATATAGTGATCAAATGTTTAAAAAAATAGTAACAATAAAAATTTAAAAATAAAATAAAAATTTTAAATGTACATGACAGGTCCAGGAGGCAGTGTGGTGGTTAAATTGCTGGATCCCACATGGCCAGCTCCACAGTTTGAATCCCAAACCTTCTGGCCTGAAAAACATGCCAAGAGTGTAATTATGCACGCCAAAAACCCCTAGAGAAGAATGGAGGAGAAAGGATTGTGGTGTGACCATCTCCTCCGGCAGGTGATTTCTCACTTTCCCTCTCTCTCTGTGTCTCTCCAACAAGTGAACACCCCTTTGGCAAAATAATAATGATAATAATAATGAAGTCTTCATGACAAAAAAAAACAACATACACATGGAGCAGCAGGTGGTGTGGAGGTTAAGGTGCTGGATCCCACATGGCCGACTGCACAGTCTGAGTCTCAGATCCAGAGGCTTGAAAACTGTATGACATCCATGTGTATGCGTGCCCCCAATCCTGAGAGGAGACTGGAGGAGACTGCAGCATGGCCATCCCCCTGGGGGTGCTTTCCCACTTTCTCTCTCTCTCTCTTTCTCTCTCTTGTGAATGCATGTCCCTTATAACAACTTGTATCATACACAAGAGTCTAATTTATTTAGTATATCAAAGACTCTTACCAATCAAAAGACAAAAAAATAACAACCTAATTCAATAACAGTTTACTGTGGGACCAGCAGTTGGAGTAAATGGCTATGTTGCTGGCTCCCATGTAGTTGACTGTGGTTAGAGTCCCGGACCCGGTGGCTTAAACTCATGCTGGGTAAATCTGTGTGCATGCCTAAGATCCCAAGAGGAGAATGGAGGAGAAGGAATTGTGGTGTGGCCATCCCCCCAGGAGGTGATTTCTCGCTTTCTGTCCTCTATGTCTGCATGCGCCCTATAGCAAAAACCCCTCCAAAAAAAAAAAAAAAAAAAAAAAAAATCAAACACGGTG